TTTGAGACGCAGAAAAGAAAAAATATGAAAAAAGAGGGGCATTCGTAGGGGAAATTCGAAAAAAAAAAGATTTACGTGAAACATAAATCTGGAAATATCGATGAAAAAATCAGAAGGTTTGATTTGTCAAAGAAAGCACAGTACAAGCACAAGAGAACAGTTTTTCATGCGTAGCGCATTAGTACAGTTTTCAGGAAAATGCACGAAGCCTAAACAGTAATCAGCATTTTTCAACAACAACAAGGTGTTGTTTAAGCGTTCAAATAAAAATAGTGAGCATGAAATGCGGGTAGAGAAAAGGCGTAAAGGCAAAAGTGGCGGCTTACGAGCCAAGAATCAACGTACTACCATCATAATTGCCAGCCGGAAGAAGACCTCGATCAACGTCATCGAAGTACTCATGTTTGAGAAGTCTTTTCGCTGAAATACGCTGCGATGGATCGTATGCCAGCATTGCCTAAAAAACAAGTAGAAATGTTTGCAAGAAATGGAAATTTCGGAGTGGTACAGTCCGATCACTGGCGCACAAGATCGTGCGGCGTAGATTATGCCTCAATTGACCGGTGAATAGTAACTGGGAAAAGACTGGGAAAGTTGCGCAAAACTTGTGAATTTAAAAAAAAAAAATCTTCACAAAACTCTGTTTTGTACCTTAAGAATATTGAGGCCTCCAGCATCCATGTAATCGCCAAGAACTTCCTCTATGCGATTCTTCGGCCACCACGGAAACGATGGCTTATAATCACGTAGAGAAGTTACACCTTTCCATTTTTCTTCAGTAGGAGTTGACAGAACCCTTAAAAAAAAATTTTTGACTTGAACAGACAACAACGTTTGGGAAAATGACAAATAGTAGAAATGTAATGACATGCCTGAATATGCAGAACATTTGATCTATTTCCGAATCGCCCTGGAACAGAATCTTTTTGGATGCCAGTTCAGCGAAAACACATCCTACGCTCCACATATCTACTCCTAACCCATAGCGAGTTGCACCAAGCAAGACTTCTGGAGCCCGATACCACAGCGTAACAATCTGTAATCGTTCATTCACAAGTTTCGGTAATTTTCTTTACTCACTCTGACGGTAATTCTCACATCTTCGACACTTTGGCATTCAAGGTCAACCTGGTTGCTACAGTTGGCTTATCAAGTGGCTCACCATCAAATTAGCGTGCAATGTCATCATGGAACCCTTAAGTTGTGTCAGAACACAGGCACAGCTGATTCATCAGGCGAAGGTCGCTTTTTTCAAGCTGTATCTTTTCAGCCAACTTCTTCCTAATATCACGGCTTCCACCAGTACGTTGAGAGAGGGCGCTTGTCATCGTTTTCCACAAACTGCGTTTTCAACAGTTTAAGTTTCTTGGCAACTTCATTCCTTGCTCTCATCTAACAACGACGAAACATCTCTCTTTTTGGAACACTGTTTAAACAAAAAAAATAGCTAGCACCAGCAGCTTCAAATAAAACAAACTGCTCTGCAAGCCACTGGTTCTGTATTGTAGTTATCCCGAAAACCGGCACTGTGCTGAATGCTTTGAATAGGAGCCGAAATTTTCA